AATTATCATAATAGCTGGCATTGGTCCCAATAGATTCTATAGAAACTCATATGATTATGCATACAACTATTTAAAATGCAATCAAGTATCAAAACAGGTAATTTGATCTAACACAACATTTGTGTAATATAATACATATTATTGAATATAGAAATTAAGGTTAACTAGGTGAAATTTTAAGTGAATAAATGTAACAAAAATAGCTTAATTCTTAAGATAAACGAGTTAAACTTTAAAAGTAATTACGCTTAAAAACTGGATTGGACAGTTTTAGTCATTATTAACACATTAATAAAATTGAACAATTTACATAATACAAATTAAATATAGTTTACCTGTATGAAATTTAAATTTAGTTTTATGATTTATAATGGCTAAAAGGAAATGACTAATTTAAAACATTATTTTACTTTCTAAGTATTATTATTAATTAAATGCATTCTAAAAATAAATACTATTCTCGAATATTAGCTTATATTTATGATGTAAATTGTAATTTCACTTATAGAGATTCTGATAATATATATTTTTATATTTAAATTTATATTATACGGAGTTAATACCACGCATAAAACATTTTTTGCTAAATAATTGTTAATATCATACTAACGTTATGGTTGTTATTTTTAAATTTGAAAACAATATAAAAAATTAAGAAAAACTAAGAAATCAACTTTTGAGAAGTATTAATATTTTGGGCGAATTGTTAAATTGTTTATTTATGTATTACCCTTTGAACATTCATACAATTTCTATAGTAGTTCTTTAAAAATAAAACTACTCAGTAAAAAGTGAAATGGTTTTTTTCTTTGCTCAGAATTTAAGTACAACTTTCAAAAAATTTTTATTATTTTATTTATGCGATTGTAACTATTTGTAAAATTTTCTATTTAATTACTATTGAATAAATTATAATTTAATAATCCACTTTGTAAAATAGATTGGTTCAAAAATATTGAATTTGTTTGAACAAAATTGCCCAAAGGGTTCATTATAAATTATGATTTTAATAATCAAATAAATGAACCTACAAGTCATAATATTATTTTATTTACGTGGTTTAAGTAATGATTTTATTATATATGACAATTATTACTCGTATTTTACTTGTTTTTATTATATTTATGGTTATGACCATGCTATTAAATTTTATTCCGTGATATTTTAAAGCATTTGAAATGGAAAATTTTATAAATATATTAGGACTGGAATTCTTTCGAAGTCTTTAATTAAATTTTAACTACGATTTCGTAAGAAATATTTCGTTTAAGTTAAAATGAAAGTTAAAATGAATATATATATTTCCTTCATTGATCAATGTCGTTTGTAAATATACGGAAATTTAAAAATATTCGCGTGTTCACCGTGTTACTAGATAGAAGGTCGGGTCAACAAAAAATTAATACTTTTAATAATCTGATTACAACTGTTGGAGCAGAAAATTATAACGTGGCTGTAGATGTGGTAATATCAAACATCAGGTATTATTATAATTATTCAAGGTGGTTATAATTTTTTATAATATTCAATTTCGGATAATCATGTATTCAACTGATTTTTGTAATATTAAAGAAAAATAACCGTTTGTATAAAAATCCAAAATGAGAACTGCAATTCTACAGTTAATCAAAAAATTGCTTCAATATAACAGAAGCAATGTATATTATTTTATATGACTTAAATTTTTATTATACTGTGATTTAACTATATTTATTTTCATTGAAAAACATTAGGTCGTTAAGGTTTGAACAAGAACGAAAATTAAATTGCTTCAGTTAATAATAGTATCTTTTACTGTTATTGTCAATAATATTATTTAATAAAGAAATAATAAATTTAAATAGTTTAGAAGAGTTGAACATTTAGAATTAATGATGTTTAGTTTTCACTACTGTTTGCAGATATAGATTTTATTGCACATCAAAGGGGTTGAGGTCCAACAATTTAGCTACTTGTCTTGATGATATCTATTACATTAAACAATTTTAATTTACAGATTGTATTTTAAGTCTCTCATCAATACATTTTTTAATTTATGCGGTTTACAATAATGACATTGATATAGTTTATGGTATCAATTTTATTCTGAAACTTTCATAAAAATATATAATAACGAAGAGAATAATAATTAAAAAATAACTTAAAGCCTAAATAACCAATTTTTAGTGTAATTATTCAATGACGATTCAAAAGTTTAGCTATATTTTATGAAAATTATAACAATAGTGTTAAAGCTTAATTATTATAAATTAATTCAAAGGAGATAGAATATTAAAAATAAAAATATTAAATATCGTACATATAACTATTATATATTATTTAAGTATTCAATCGTTTTTTTTCAATCAATAATGATTTGCGTAATAATATTATCGATTGGTAGAAATGTATCCCTTTCAGACGAATTCGGATACAAGATGCCGGGATGATGCCGCTGTGCCTATAATGTCATTTGTTTCTCCACAGTTTATTGTTAATTCGGCAACTGATTGCGTTAAATGGTCATAATTAACATATCCTTATACAACATAATCACCCAATAACAATTGCCGTCGTATTTGTAGTCCGATGACCGTCAAGCTATAGTAAAATATATAGAATTGAAGATTAGTACCGTATTGTATGCTTAAATGTAGTACATCGTAACCGTGTTGATGGTTCCTTTCATTATACGTCGTGTGTTTTCGACCTGTCCGTTCAAATTGGTTATCAGAGTACACGAATCGGATCAATTATTATTATTATTTTCGTTATAATACGCACATTATCGTATGTGTAATGCAAAACGCACGATTCGACGGACAATTATTGTGTACGATTATACTTACGTACACGTTATTATAGCGTTCAAACGCGATCTCTCGTCCCGATGCAACTCATTGTAAACTTATTATTATTTTACAAACACAATCGAACCTCTATTGAACGAAATTATCCATAAAACGAATCGATTCTTCGAACCATGATATTTCACAAATAGAAAAAAATAAATGTCAATCCAACGAAATAAATTTCTATTAAACGAATTAATTTTATATTGATATTCTAGAATACATTTTAAGCTACAGTATAGCGTATACACTCGTAATAATTTTGGGTAATAACGTAATGAGGAATGAGGTAAGGACACGTCATATTTTATTCATATTAACATAATATTATTAATAATATGATTTATTACTTTACAGTATTATTGTTATTTTGGCTACGTTTCGTACAGTGAAAACAAGTTTTTAAGATAACAACAAATTGTATTTCTATTATTAGTTTTTACTTTTCCAAAACCATAAAGTTCGTTAAATATAGGTTCAGCTGTCTAAAAAGTCACTATATCGTTGTTACAGTGACACATTGCTGTAAGGTATATTATATTGTAGTATACGAACGTGTTTTAATAAAAATAATCAATAACGATATTAAAGAAGAGAAAACAAGTACGCACATTCATTTTTTTTTGTGTTTGGTTAATTTTAAATAGAGCACAACTCAAATTATTATGATAATTTATTCCGAAACAATTTAATCGTTTTATGACGGGAAAAAAAGTTATACTTAAATAATAATAACCACATTTCTTCAAGTACTAACGTATTTGATATTTTTATTGAAAATTGTTGATACGCATCTAAAATATATGTCTAAACATACATTAACCATAAAAACTATGGCCTTATAAATGCTATAAATTGTTTACAACATTAATATTAGACTATTGATAAATAATAAAAAATGTGTTTACCCAATCAAGTATTGAGTCTAAAATACATATTCCATTTATACCTATAATATGAATAAAATAATATTATTATTGATCACAGGTGATGATTATTTGTATAAATATATTATATAATTATGCGTCTAATAAAAATAAAGGAAATCTTCTTTCTTAATAACAACTTCACTGAATAGGTAAATTTGATAAATGTACAACAATAGTGTTATTTTAATTCGTGCTGCAGGATTATGCGAAATAAAATAGCAAATAATTTGTAATCATCAGATTTTACCGACGTTTTTTTACACTTCTATTTTCGCGAGGAGTTAAGTAGAACATTTTCAGAGAAGTTCTAATATTTATTTTTTCTGATATCGAAAAACTATTGTAATTTTTCTAACCGCGCATTCCTATCATACTGCCAGCCAAATAGTGACTATTAATTATTTTGACACGCGATAGATATTATTGTTTTGTAGCGTATTGAGATTGTACGTGCACAGGTGAAGTAGTTTGGTCAAATGTCGAGTCTAAATGGGTTTCCATTCTTTGGAAGCATTAGGTGTTCGTGATAAAAAAAAAAAAAACACGGATAACTGAACTCGCCACTTGGTCGGAATTCAAATTACAAATCGTAAGACATAAAGTCTTCGCCCATACCTTGTGGGTGGTGAAACGGGTAGAAGAAACGACCTTTTTACCGTGCGGTGTACTTGACGTATCTGGTGCATTTAACGAGGCCGATGCGAACCGGAGCATTCCCGGAATGACCATCCCTCTGATCGCTTACGGGCGTATAACCTAGGTATGTCATCGTATACCGCGGTAGGTGACCGTGAGGAGACGAAATTGGTGCGTGTGGGAAATAATAAAAAAAAATATATCGCACTAATATCGCTGTGTAAGAACAACAACGTTATAATTTAACGACGCGGATACTAATGATAAACGATCGATTAATATCCGGTTCGACCTCAACCATGTGGGAGGAGGGTAACTGGTACGGCGACGGCGACCGAGTTTCAGACGGTAACTACTGCGGCGTTCGGTGTAATAGTAATAATTATAATAATAATAATGATCATAATATCACCTCGGTAGGATAAAAAAATTAACTTAAAATGGCGTTTACACCCGGCGGCGGTGGCGGGAAGACAAGAAGGGCGTATTTGGTTCGCGACGATTGTCCTTCGTTCGCGCCGAAAAACCGCGCCAGGGCCCCCACCCCACCGTTGTCGAGTCACTGCAGTGGCGATTAACCACCACAGCGCCGAGACTATATAAGTCGGTTCACCCAAGTTTGCAGACTATCAATCATCAACGTTTGATCTGTAACTGTCGCAAATCCGTAGCACACATTTACAGCCAACTAAACCATCAACATGGCATACATGGTAAGTGCACCTATTACATACGTAATGCATGCAAACACACGTATCTATGCTAAGATCGAATTTTAACGTAACCACTTGCAGAATTCGTGACGCGAAATTCGATGGAAAAAAACTCGAAATTCGTTCGAATCCGCTGTTTTGCGCGAGAAATCCGGTTTCTCGAAACATTATGAAACGCTAAAATACGGCTTTGATCTCGATCTACGACCGGACGTCGACGCGATTCGCGCCGTTAAATATTCTCTGTTATCCGGCCGTCCGTTTCCAACAAAGCGAAAGGTTTTTGTTCCTCAGGTACACACACATTTTCACCGTTGTCTTTTGTTTAATTAATTTTCGTTTCGGCTCGCCATTTTTCTGGCTGGTACACATTATTTTTTTCCACACCGTAAACCGTGGTTTTACGACCCCGGTGTTTTTTATTTATTTCGTCCGAAAACCTTCGTCAGATTTTCTCCAGACGACCATCTATATAAGATACCGGTACACTTTTAATACGGCAAGTATAATTCCTGACAAGTTCGTATATGGTTATACAAAACCATGCATAAACTGATATATCATATTTTGATATTTTATGATATTAGATATATTATTTTAGATATATTTCTCAATCGATTATATTTTATTTTTAATCGTTTATGAGTACAAGATTAATTACTCATTTTTCTACTGAATTCTTCAACTTATTTTACTGTAATATCATATTTTATTTGTGTCTTAAAATACCTTAAATAGTTATTTTAACTATTCATTCCGATATGACATTTTTTGGAAAAAATTAAAATTTATGCGCCTCTTTATAGTTTAAACGAAATATACATTTTTATTGAAGCCGATAACTTATTTTTATATTTTGAATAAATAAATTATAATATGTGTATTTGGTGTTAAAGTGATGGTAATTTTTTTACGATCGACTGTTTGGTTAGTTAATATGCACTAAAAGATTCTTTACTGTTATATTCAGTGATTCGAGTACAGAAAGTTAGTATTTAGAAAGATATAGTTTTTCGACATACTCTTTTGTTTCTTCAAGAAAATTTAAAAAAAAACTGATATCGAACAAGACAAGTTTTTAGAATACAAATTTTTTTCTCTGCATATATTTTATTTATATTTCATAATTATTAACGTGATATGTAAAATTAGATCCCACGACCGTTTTACTACAGCACGTTAAAAACCAAAGATCGGTGGTACTTTTGGTTAGCGAAAAATCGGTCACGGAAACCGAAAAATATGTTTTAAAATTTCGAATAATCGTCCGCACGTTGTACGGTATACACATATATATATATATATTTTTTTTGGATGACCATCGTTACTTTACGTAACGTTATTATTGTACGATCGTTTTTTACCGTAAAAAAACTTTGTCGAAACGTTTTAGCATTTCTGGCGTTCTGCGTTCTAAGAACGAAATAATATGCACACGTATTCGCTGCTGATATGATACGCGATTACCGCAACGATTAATGGTTTTTTTTGCCTCCTGTTACAGTTCGTAGTCATCGCCGCCTCCGTCTTGGCCACCGCCTGCGGATCTCCCGTTGCAGCGCCCATCTACTCCGCTGCTCCGGCTTACTCGCCCGCCCCGGCTTACTCTTCCGCCCCGGCTTACCCAGCGGCCGCTTCCTACGCAGCCCCCTCATACTCCGCTCCATCATACAAGCCCGCTTACAAGCCGGCGTACGGCCAAGAATCTTACGAAGCTCCAGCCCCATACAACTTCGAGTACTCCGTGAACGACCCACACTCGTACGACGTCAAGAGCCAACAGGAATACGCCGACGGCAACGGTTACGTTAAGGGATCGTACAGCCTGGTCGAACCCGACGGTTCCACCCGTACTGTTGAGTACACCGCTGACGACTACAACGGTTTCAACGCCGTCGTCAAGAAGGAAGGCGGATACGCCGCACCGGCTTACTCCGCACCGGCCTACAAGAGCCCGTCGTACTCCGCACCGGCCTACAAGAGCCCATCGTACTCCGCCCCGGCCTACTCCGCCCCGGCTTACGCCGCCCCGGCCTACGCCGCCCCGGCCTACTCCGCCCCGGCCTACAAGAGCCCATCGTCTTACGCCGCACCGGCCTACAAGAGCCCGTCGTACTCCGCTCCTTCTTACGCCGCCCCGGCCTACAAGAGCCCATCTTACGCCGCCCCGGCTTACAAGGCTCCGTCTTACTCCGCCCCGGCTTACTCCGCTCCGGCTTACTCCGCTCCGGCTTACTAAGCACACCTTCATTGTCAACATCATCATCACCACCACAACCGTGATGCTCGATTGCTCCAAAACGCAGTTTCACATTTAATTTATTGTTATTTATTTATTTCAATGTAAATATAATATACAATTACATATTTGCAAATCCGAAAATCTCAACATGCGTTTGTTTATTTAAAACCAACTATGAATGGTTCATGAATCATTATGAACTGTCAGTGCGTATTGCACTATTCATCATAATCGAAGCGCGCTGTATTAGTATATATTGTTATGTAATAGAACGTGGGATTTTAAAATTTGAACCAATGAGTTTGTCATATTTCGATCGAAAACGGTCGTTAAATGTTGACATTTAAGGACAGTGATCTCGTTATGATTGATATGACGTCAAGGCAGGAGCTAACATGTATTACACAATTTTCTAATAAAGTAAAACGCATGTGTTAGGTACATTGTGAGGATGTAATTACCCGCGAATTACTGTTTTCGAGGCTTGTTTAAACGTATGACTGTACAAACTTTTATAATTGAAAAATGGGTTAGGCCATGATCCGACAGATTTGGATGACCTAACAGTCGTAATTCATTCTTTAACATAAATCTACGTCGAAAATATGATACACCTGTATTGCTACATAATGAACTATATCAATGAGTGGATACAGTGGGTCAAGACTGAAAAGAAAAATTGTCGAAACATAATATTAACATATTAAATTATCATATGCGCAACTAAAATAAACGAGTAAACGATCTTACATTAGCACATATGTCTAGTAAACAATAATAATAATAATAATAATAATAATAATCATTACAGTATTACGTATACACGTCCATTAGCCCACGAGCGATTTTTATTCCATAACAATTATGGATTAGAAAATGCTGCTATTGGAAACTGTGGGTTAATCGAGAACATTGGTACGAACTTAGAATGATCTCATTTGATAAAGTTGTTACGGTATTTTTCAATATTTAAATAATACTTTAAGTAACGTGATCGTCTTTATCCTTTGTAAATACTTTTGCACCCTTCGAAGAAATTGCGTGTGTTTTGGTTGGGCCCGCCGTTTAGAAATAATATAAGTTCTCGAAATATTGACTGTATTGCCATTATGTCTTTGTATATCATGATGGGACGTTCTGCAACCATTCGTTATTGTAAGAATTTAGATGATTGTGGAAAACGCGATGTCGTTAGCGAAATATACACCTTATATAATGCATGTTTAAACTTTGAAAAAAGGTCGTTAAATGTTTTGAACTTCGACGATTTCAATACAGATCGCTAAGAAATCTGAACCGAATTCCACTGAACTTCGACAGTTAGACGAAAACGCGTAGTTTAAAACTTACAGGTTCAATTTGGTTTTTATGTAGAAACGGAATTAAAAAAAAAAATATATAATAATTTTTTGCCGTACATTAATGGCTACTATAGCGTATGCATGGATACAGTCTCAAAACTGTCAATTACGAAAACCATCAACATAATATTATGTTATAACATCGGACATAGTGTTTCGATAGTAAATCCCTGTTGACTTGAAATATTGTCGACGGTATAACAATTAAGCATATTATACGAAGGTGTATCATGCGTGAACGCGTTGTAATACGTTACCGTTTCTGTCATGAGTTATTATACGCGCTATCACGCAGTCGTGAGTTGCTTAAGACGGACACGATAAATATATTTAATTATCTCCAAAACTTCTATTCGCATTAATCAATTGACCGTGCGATGTTTTGTTACGCCAACAACCGAGTATGCATCGTGAATAACAATTTTTTTTTAGCAATTCCTACGTGTGTGGGTGTGTGTGTGTGTGTATTTGGACCGATTAATTGTACTCGAGTGACTTGGTTTTAAAACAACGGCACCCCAGAGGACAGAGTGCTGACTGTTGGGACGCATAATATTATCGACTATTATAATTAACGTGTACATACCGAATTATGATATTAATAAAATGTGGATTGCGTGACGGTGGCTGTATTTCACACACGTGTCCAAATATTCTCATGTATAGAACTGATGTGTGTGTCAAGTAATTATAGGTAAACGCGTGTGATATCGTTTGAAACCTATCACGACAAAACCATAAAATGCAAACTCTTAATAGGTCGTCCAATATTACTATAGCACAAAAAAAAAAAAAAAAAACATTCCATTGACGCTGCAATTTTGTTTTCAAAGACCAGAAGAGTATTTATAAAGGATGCTAGAGCCAGGGGCGTATTTAGACTTACTTCTAAGGGGAGGGGGACTCAAATATTTTCTTTAATTTAGGCTCAAAATTTACAAGTAAAATTGTTGGTAATATTTAAATCAGGTGAATCCTTAATATTTGTGGTTTTTTTTTTTTTAATATAATGCCGGACCCACTTAGTAGAATCGACTTTTGTGTAGTTCTTTTTTAATACCTGTATGTGTTTCGAAAAATACGCTTGTATTTTATTTGATTTTTCACTAAGTATGAATCTGATAAAAGCCCAATTCAGTATTTATAGTTACGTGTAATTTAATTTCGTTATAAAATGATCCATATTAAAAAAATTTGAAATGTGTATCTCACATATAATTAATTCCTAAAATATGGATTTGGGGGGGGATCGCCCCTTCACCCTATTCTCACCCCTAAGATACGCCCATTGCTAGAGCACTATAATAGCAACCTTACCGCTTGGTTCATATGGATGTCTTAATGATCGCTACTCATTTCGACGGTTTTTACTAATGTAATGCATTGTAGTGACCAGTAGCTACTTATCCGATCATAAATTAATAGAGTGAAATCGGTATTAGGTATCTAACCACGCGAACGTGTTTAATATTTAAATGGCTTGCACTCGAATACGTAAGCCGTGTGTATTGTAGATTATTTTTATTACAAATAAGCGTTTTTCAATTCGATCCACCCGTTACAGAAAGTGCAAAAATAATTATCTCACTATTGACACTCGCGTGTTCAGCAGGTGTAAACGATGATACCAAATGGGTTTTTTTCCCTTAAACAGTGACTATATTATGTGTATGCTCTTTTGTCATGAGCAGGGTTGGGATTTTATAGCACTTAAAATTGCATAAATATGCGCTATAATATTACCTTAAAAATCGCTAAATAAGCTCTAAAAATATGTAATAAAACAACAAAAAAGAAGGAAATTTATTATTTAATAATTTTATACGAGCACACGAGACGAATGTGGTCTGTATAAAGCGAATTCTACACTCGTTCGTTGATAATCGGCTATTAGTAGATTTAGTAGAAATCGACAAAAAAAAAAAACTAACAAAATCAGCAGATAACAAAAATTAACTAAAACGAAATTATTGTAATATATTATACCTACCTATATATTATCGCTGTAATTGTACAGAGTTACATCAGCGTAATCGGTCTATTTACTTACTACTATCTATACATTTATAATTTAATTTAAAATTAAAATTAAAATTTTGAATCTTGAAAAGTCGATTAACAAAAATCAAAAAACACGTTTACCAAAATACAATTTCATAAAATATGCCCAATTTTAATTAAAACACAGGTAAAGGCAAAAAAGTCTCAAAAAATCCAAAAAAAAAGAACTATAAACTAAAAAACGCAAAATATGCAAAAAAAGAGCAAAATAATATTTTTTATTTGAGTTCTTTGTATCATGAAACACATTTTTAGCTTACTCTGCTATTTTTTAAGCGTCTCATAAGAAATATACAAATGCTATAAAATCCCAACCCTGGTGATGAGTCTTATCCGTTAGCTTTATCGAATCAAACATCACGACGAATGGAGCACTGTTAAATGGTTTTTGTCGCATTGAACGGAACGAAAATAAATCGGTAAACATCAATTCGTACGGATCTCGAATTGTTTTCAAGAGTGGAGGGTGAAGATAGAATAATGGAGTTGGAAGAAAGGTTAGAGGGACTGGTCCATGACATTTTTGTGTTACAAAATCGTTTTAATAGATACTATTTGGTGTTTTTTTCTGCTCTGTATTTATGAAAATATATAAGCTAAAACTTCACTCTCAGTTATGATCCACTGTATATAGTATTGGGCACACAAGTGTCGCAAAAAAAAAGAAAAAAGTCGAAATACATTTTGTACTGACAAAATTATAATAGCTGCAGGCCGTGGTCCGAAACGACATTTATTGTACAATATTAATTAGGTTTTCACCGACAACGAATCCGAATTCCGTTCAGTCACCGTAGCTAGTTATAACGCCATACCATAATAACACAACAACAAATACACTAGACTAAATATGATCTAATCATTGTTTACTGCGGTAGAGTGAAATAATCTCCCGGACGGGGACGATGGAAAACGGGTAAATTAATCACTACAAAATTCGAACTCGACATAAGTACGTTTCGTCCGAATTGTATAATAATTTTCACATTTCCGCCGTAAACTTTTGCGTTTAATTTCACCCGGAACGGTTGACACCACCTCGGGACGAATTTATCGCTGAAAAAGTTATTAGGTAAGTGACTCGAACAGTAGCGTGTAACTGCGTTACAATAGTGTTATTAAATAAGCACTACCATTATGTGTGCAATTCGTGCACACAAACGACGAAAACTAATGTAATAAAGATACAGTTTTAAATCGCTCCGCGAATCCAGTGCCAATTCTCTAATTTCGTTGTACAAAACAATACGTTCCTGCATTCGTGTTCCATCTTTAACGGCTTAGCGAACTGTACGCAGTACACAATGATGTTCGACTTTCAAAGTTTATGAGTGTAATTGACATAATATGTTGACACATGAATATATAATTATGTCATACTGTAATGCTATGCTGTACGTTTAGGGTCGTGTACGTCAATACTTTTCGGATTACAAATCACGCGTGGTCTGCACTGAATTTCACGAGCCATTTATTATGTAGATACGACGTACCTACACTTTTTGAAATTCGACAAAATCTTACCCAAGACAGTTATCATTAACTAGATTTCCATTGTTAATATTGTTTCACATTTATAATATAGGTAAGTATACAGCATTGGTTAATGCGATGTATACATTTTACAATTTCTACAAGTTTGATTAAGATATAAAATTTGATAAATCATTAATTTGGTTAGAAAAAATATCACACTGCTCGTTTTGATGCACTTACACCTTAAAA